ATCAATTTCCCTATCTTTAGAATTGGCAGGAGTGGTGGTGGGGAGGTTGGTAAACTAGTCTAGTATATTCTCCTCTCTCCCTCTCTCTTTCCTTCTGTGTCTGTGTGTGTGTCTGTGTGTGTGTGTGTGTGTGTGTGTGTGTGCGCACACACACCTTTCAGCCACTGTCTTTCTGACTTTCTCTCATTAGTTTATGTAAAGTTCTTAGAACAAGACCTCTTACTCAGTAAGCACTCTGAAAATATCAGCTTATTTTTTAATCTGAAATTCGAATTTTCAAGTAAATTCTTACATGCTTCATTTGAGCTTGGGTGGATAGGAGACATTGAAGATCCAAGGAACAGTTTGAAAATCCCTGACAACTAATGAGTTCCAAAATGCTCACTGATGTTATGATGACTGTACAGAAATCAGAGACCTGGGATCCACTACAGAGATTCTGATTCATTTGATCTAAGAGAGGTCCTGAGACAGGATCAGTAAGAGCTTCAGGTGCCTCTGACATATATTAGAAATAACTGAACTAGATATCCTCTAAGGTCCCTGGAACACTAACATTTTATTTTATATTTCTTGTAGTTATTCAGGAAATCAAATTGCAAACTGACATTTTCAAAAAATTGGGTTCTACTACCTTCCTGCTAAGATTAATAACGACCATGAGATATTGAGCACCAATCATATGCCAAATGATTTATATATACTCTCTGTTATATATGTATATATGTATATATGTTATATATACTCTCTGTTATATGTATTTATCTGATTTACTCTTTACAGTCTTGTGAAATAGATTATACTTCCTACTTTACAGATGAGGAAAACAGGCCCAACAAGTTTAGGTAATATTGCTAATATCCTATAGCTGATAAATCTGAAGTATATACAAAACTACCTAAATACCTGAGATTTCCTTTAGTTATTGAGCTCTAGAGGTAGAGAAAAAGTCATACAATGCCAATTGAAGGCACAGATGTCTTACTCTAAGAGCAGGAACAAATGTCATCTTCAGGGCAGTGAGACACTTCCTCCCACTTGTTCCTGTTGTACACAGACTGCTCAAGTTAGGTACTAGAGCTGATCATCAACGGAAGGGACTCTTCAGAGAAGCCTCAGGCTTTGCCTCACATCCTCTAGGAATCACTATCATTTCTGTTAGACAAATAGTATCTACAAGGGGCTTAATGCTACTGAGTCACCTTTTGCAGCCATCATGAAAAATGCATTATGGAAAGAACTGCAAGGCCCTCTTCACATGCAATGTGAAATCTAAATCTCAACCCAAAATTGTATTGCAACTGTCCTTCTACCAATATTTTCAGTTAAATGGAAGATCTACTGACTCAGGGCCAGTAGTATTGGCAACTGGAGGGCATGGCACACTCTGCTGTCTCAACTTCCAAAGCAACTGTTCTTTCCCAACAATACTCTCCCAGTATGCTCTCTAATATTTCTTCTTAAAGCCTCCAAAAAGCCTCACCTTAAACTGTTGGAGCATTGGGTGTTACTGTCACTACCACCACACATCCCAGTTCTCAAAGTGACAAATTCAACAAGGACAGTGAATATGACAGGCCAATTAAAATCTCAAAATCTTTTTTCAGTCCCCATCAATAAAGGTCAGTTCATGAGTCATCAGCCCTAAAAGCAATGATCAGTTGATAACCAAGAATATCTGGAGTTGGCAGGCAAACAGTAACTCAGTTAAGAGGTTGTTGTAAAGCATACATTAAGAAGCAAATGTGTCCAGCTAACACCTTACATGGAGCTCACAGACACCCACAAGAACCTGACATATGAGGGGGTCATTTTTATTTTTGTTTATAAGCCATCATGCTCAACCTCACCCACTTTATTTTTCCTTAATGGCACTGGTTGACATTTATGGTAGGGTAGGTGTTATACCCTCAGTAGGCCCACTCCTACAGCTCCCTGGGTATTGGTCTTGCCCTTTCAAATCTAAGAGTAGGCCCCCAAAGCCTATCTACACTATGTATATGATACGAGTGGCAGCCCTGATGATCTCAGAAGCGGCTTCAGAGGCCTTCTTCTCTTATCTTGAATAGTGCATGTTCATAGCCAAATAGCTCTATGGTCTGGTCTAATAGGGTCTAAGAAGTCAACCAATTTTTCTTCATTTTGTCACATTTTTTGTTTCCTATATTCCCAGCTGGTGGTATTTCTGCTCATATAATCCCATCTCTATTCCTGGCTTCTGCTGTGATAGTTGATTATATCCATGGTTACATCCATATTGAGCTCTTTATGCAATGGTCAGTCCACCACACCCTTGGCATTCTCTTCCAAATACACTTTGCCATTTTTTGTAATATGGGCAAGCAGAGAAATGTCCAAATCTTGAAGTTCTGTTTCCATTTTGTTTAATAATTTCATCTCCAATTCATTCTCTCCTCTCAGCTTTTACTATAAACAGAGAGAACAAAGCCATTCTTCCAACACTTTGATTAGAAATTTCCTCATCCAAATATTCCATTTTATCACTCACAAAATACTACTTCCCACAAAACACAAATACAATTCAGCCAAGTTCTTTGCCTACTTTGTAACAAGGATGGCTTTTCTCCATTGTCCAATAACATGTTCTTCATGGAAGCTTTCTCTATGGCTCTCCTTTTTTCTTTCTGAGCTGTCACCACAATTGCCTTTAAAATTATATTCATGGCAATCCAGGCTTTTCCTAGCATGCACCTCCAAATTCTTGTACTTCTTCCCATTACTCAATTCCAAAGCTACCTCTACATTTTTAGGTATTTGGTACAGCAGTTCCCCCCACTTCTCAGTACTGATTTCCGTCTTACGAAGTTTAGGATTCTGTAACAAAATACCATAGACTGTGTGGCTTATAAACAACAGAAATGTATTTCTCACAATTCTGGAGGCTGGAAGTTTGAGATCAGGGTGTCGACATAGTTAGATTCTGGTGAGAGCCCTCTTCCAGGTTGCAGACTGACAACTTGTTGTATTCTCACGTGGTGGGAGGAAGGTAAAAGAGCCCTTTGAAGTCTCTTTTATGAGGGCACTAATCCCATTCATGAAGGGCTCCACCTTCATGACCTAATTATTTCCCAAAGTCTCCAGCTCTTAATACCATCATATCAGGGGTTAGGATTTTAACATATGGATTTTGGGAAGGACACAAAAATATCCAATCCATTGCAGAGTACAAATACATCAAATTTTATGTTAACAACAATTACATAGATAAAATGTATTTAGGCACTGTGTACACTTGGAATTGATCACCTCATCCCCATTTCAAAGATGAGAAAAATTAACACTCAGGGAAAGTCACTTGCCAAGGTTACACCGATAATAAGGTCCAAAGCTAGAGTTCAAATTTGGCCTATCTGATTCTACAGCCCATGAAATTAACTTTTAAATAAGTCATGCCCTTTGACAAAAATAGATTTGCAAAAGTAAAGTGAAGTGGAATGAATAAGTAAATAATCTAAATGCAAATGTGTGCCTCACTAGTTACACCACTACATTTACCAAAACAAATAGTCACCAATCATAATCTCATAAAAGCACTCATTGCAGTATTATTTATAATAGTGAAAAATTGGAAATAAGCTAAATAGTTGAATATTATATACAGTATGGCTCCAATAATAATGAGATCTGAATGCATCCATTATTTAGTCAGTAAACATGAATTGAGTATCTACTACATGCTAGGCACTCCTCTACCTGCTGGGGAAATAGCAGTGAATAAAAACAATGTCCTTGCCCCCCATGAAACTTAAAAAGAATTTGAATTGATATAAGAAGATAATTATGATAAAAGGTAAGCTAAAAAGTTAAAATTATGTATATACTATGAACTAAATTGCATACATATAAAAGAGGTACATGTAGAAAAAAGAACTAAAAGATAACATGCCAATACCATCTAATACAAAGTTTCTGTGCTAGAGTATCCTATTATCATAGGTAATTTTATACTTTTATATATTATACTTACTACAAATGGCATTTAATAATAATAATACATTTTATATTTTAATGCTGGGGTTCATAAATAGAACTGTGTAACTAACTTGTTTCAGTGACATTAAATCATTTGCAACATTTCTGTGGTTCAATGTTCTTGTCTAGCAAATGCTTTACACTAACTCTTCAATTCAGTGGTTACCAAACTTTTTCTTAAATGGCCAGAGAACAAATATTTTAGGATTTGAAAGCTATCCAGTCACTACTACTACTCAATGTTGTTTTCCTACCACAAAAGTACCTTTAGAAAATATTTAAACAAATAAATGTGGCTGTGTTCCAACAAAATTTTATTTACAAAAAGAAAAAAAAAAGGTGGCAGGCAAGTTTGGCGCAAGGGCCATGGTTTGCTGATACTACTTTAACTTCATTACAACTAACACAAACACAAAGTTCTTTACCCTCCACTGTTCAATCTCCTCATGGTAACAGTCTTGCTATTAATAATAACCACATTTTACAGAGGACAAGACTAAGGCTCAGAGAAAAGAAATATCTGTCCAAGATGACACAGCTGATAGAGTGAGTTGTTAAATTCAGTTCCAAGAGAGATGCCAAATGTCCTTTCGTCTGAAAAGCTGTACATATATAAATGCTAATTTTAAACTTTCTAGGGGAGTTTATTGCTTAGAGGACTCTTACTCTAAATCATTTTGGAAATTTTTTTTAAATCACTCTTTAATTTATCCCTTACACAAATATCTATTTTCATGTATTATATTCTTTAAAGAAAAATTCTCCTGCAGACTGATACAAAGGCTTCAGTGGAGGCTTCAGGGATATATTTTTATTGGTTTTGTGTGAGTGGGGAACAGGACTGACAAGCAGTGTTTCTTTATCCTTCATAAGCAGCTTCCCATGAGCTTGGGACAAGACCACAGAGGATAAAGGTGCCCAAGTTCTCTGTATCTAAAAACCTAGGAGACTGAATGGTCTCCGAATCGCCTCAAGAGGCACATGACCACATGTAGGTGAAGACTTACCAATGTTAATTTCATCATCAGTCAGAGTATCTCCAATGAAATCGAACTGAAAGGACTGAAGTGTCTGAGAAAATTTCTGAACAGCTGAAGAATAATCTGCAAAGTAAGAGAAACAGAAGAAATGGTCAAAATTTCTGTCCTTTAACTGATTTACTCATCTCTGTTAGGGCGAATAGGAGAAAAAGCAAAGTGCTCCTGGGAGTTAGCAACTTGCATTTACTAAAGTTAAACAAAAGATCTCACCCTCAGTAGAAGATTTGAGCAATGAAAATCATACATTAAGGAGGAAGGAAGGCATCTTAGTGAATCCTTTTAAGTTATGGGACATGTTTTAATCTCACTCCCTGTCCTTTCTGACTCGTTCTACCCAAAGCCTGTAAAGACCTAAAACTACTTAGTTTTACTTCTAAAAGAGGATCTTTTGAGCACCAATTATGGGCAATGGACTAAATGCTTTCTCACCTCTCACCAAAGAAATATCCACAATCATTCTACAAAGAAAGATGTAGCTGAATTTTATAACTGTGGTAATCAAAGTCCCCAAGCTAGCTGGCAGAGACAAAAGTAGAAGCCAGATGGCCTGTCTCTTCAGGGCCTTTTCCATGGCAACACAGGCACAACATGGAAATGTTACACATTAACCATATGGAATCCTGGGTTAGAATACTATCTGGCAGGAGAACAAATTTAAGTTGCTCACATAGTATTCACCGAGAGACCTGAACTAGGAAGGCACTTAATAACAAACTTCAGGATGGTATGGCCAGACAAATGCTTTTGACTTTGGGTGAACAGTTTTGAATTTTATTATATAAAAGATTAATGCAGGTATAAAACTAAATCACATTTAGCTAACCTTTTGACAAATTCTCTTTATGGATTTATTTTAAATATGGCCTTCATCAAGTGGTCTGGCCAAACTCTCCAGCCTCGCTACTCTGAGTGGTTCTCAGGTCAGCAGAATCATCATCATCTAGGAGCTCGATGGAAATACACATTTCCAGGTCACAACCTAGACTTACTGAGTAAGAAACTGCATTTTAATATAATCCCTAGGGGATTCATATGCCTTTGAAAGTTTGAGGGGCACTTCTCTCAACAACTCAAGTAACCCACTGGACAATCTTCTAGGAAAGCTCAAGCTTTGGGTTATCTTTGGCTCCCTTTTCCTATTTCTTCTCTAACTCCATAGTTTCATCATCCCCCACCTTCACATCTATCAGAAACACAGGGTTATGGGAGTTTTTGCTCTCAGACTAACAGAAAGGGAGACAATGCAAACAGCACCTATCCCTTTCAATGAAAAACTATCATGGTTAAGCACAAACACAATAAAACATGTTCAGATATTTGGTGGAAACAGATTAAACTGCCTAGAATTTTATTGCCATCTTATCTGTGTCCCATTTCCAGAAGAACTTATTTTCAGTATTTAGAGCCCTGACCCTTTGAATACATGATTAGTGAGTAGGATGGGGGAAGGAGAGGGAGGGGGAGGAGGAAGTGGAGGAGGAGAAAAGTTTTACAAAAATTGGAGGCTGCAGACCAGGTTACCATGCCTTCTCAAATCTCCACATTTTGGATAGCATTTTCTATTTCAAATCTGGTCCACATAAATGTGAGAGGAGCATGCCCACCCTGCTTTCCATATTCCATCAGCAAAGAGAATACAAAACCAGCTCCATGGCTGGAAAACAATCACTTTCCTCTGCCCTCCTTAGCCAGTATCAGAAAAGGGCAAGCCCAGAATTCTGCCATGCACTTTCTGTTTCACTCAGAAAGATTAAATGAAAATATTTATTATATTGCCTTTTCACACATACCTGGATTTCTTCATTATTTTCTTGAGACAAGCAAGGTACAGTTATTAATAATTCCTCTTTTAGAATAATCTGAACTTTTCCAAAACAACAAATACTATAATTTTTGACATTTATATTATTTTGTAACTAAAAGCATAGAATAAGAAAGGAGTGGCATTTATTCCCTTTTTCACTATTTGCACCAACGTCTCTTCTCCAGACTTCTGATTTTCCTTTTTTTTTTTAAACATTTATTTAGTTTTGAGAGACAGATAGAGACAGAGCATGAGCAGGGGAGGAACGGAGAGAAAGGGAGACACAGAATCCGAAGCAGGCTCCAGGCTCTGAGCTGTCAGCACAGAGCCCGACATGGGGCTCGAATTCATGAACCGTGAGATCATGACCTGAGCCAAAATCAAGTCAACACTTAACCAACTGAGCCACCCACGCACCCCAGACTTCTGGTTTTCAAAACGCTACTTTACATTTGCATAGAGCTTCAAAAAGTATATGAAGAACTTTCCACACTGTCACTGACTCCTCTCCAATACCCCAATGTAGGTATTACTATGTTCACCTTATAAACAAGCAAATAAAAAATGAGACAATGCAGACAAATCACATTTGCAAATATGAACAAGCACAAATTAACAGCTCTTCATTGAAACAAAGTCTCAATATTTAGACTCTGTACTAAGAGATGTACCAGGAATGAGTCATCTATTTCAGATAAATGAGTTGGGTAACTTTTGGACTCCAAAGAATCAATAGATAACCTAGAAATGCTTGCAGTATATGGGGCACTTATTTCTTTATTACACTAAAATTTACTGCATCACTCTAAACCATGTAAAGTCATTATTTTATCCTTCCTAATACTTCTGCATCCCTGTCCAACAAGCCATTATCTCATAATTTTTCAAGCTATCTTTGAAGGTTCTCTCTATACCACCTTCTTATTTACCTTCTATAATGTTTTTCCCTCACCTTCCCCTTAAACGTAGCTAGTGTTTTTAGGCAATTGAAGCTTTCTGGGAATAAGGTAGAATGTAAACAGAACTAATTAGTCAGGTAGTTAATTAATGTTGTATACACACCACTTTACTTTTATCACTATTATCTGACATGGAATCATATAGAATATACCCTGATGTCTACATTACTTTGGTCTGCACAATGTCTTAGAAATTCATCTATCTGTAATTCATTATTTTTGTTGCTGAGTAGATTGCATTGTATAAATATACCATAATTCATTCATTCACCTATTTATGGATATTGTGCTGTTTATAGTTTTTCACTATTGTGAAGACAGTTACTTTAAACATTCATGTATGAGCCTGCCTAGAACATATATTTTCATTTCTCTTTGGTAAATACATAAGAGCCCAATAAATTGGTTATATGTTTAGTTGGAAAGTGTATATTAAAATATACAAGAAGAGGTCTAACTGCTTTCCAAATTCATTGTACTATTTTGTACACCTATCAACAATATATGAGAATTTCAGTTGATCCACATATCTTCCAACATCTGGTAATTTATTTTAAAATCTTTTTATTGCAGTATAGCTGACATACAATATTATATTACTTTCAAGTGTACAACATAGTGATCCAACAACTCTATACATGATGATATGCTCACTACAAGTACAGCTACCCTCCTCACCATACGATGCTATTACAGTGCCACTGACTATATTCTTTATGCTGTACCTTTCATCTCCATGACTTACTCATTCCGTACCTGAAAGCCTGTACCCCTACTTCCCTTCAGTAATTTTTTTTTCATCCTCTCATTCACTTACCCTCTGGTAACCATCAGTTTGTTCTCTGTATTTGTGGTTCTGTTTCTGCTATTTTTGTATCCACATTAAGTGATATCACATGGTATTTGTCTTTCTCTCACCTATTTCATTTAGCAAAATCCTCCCTAGGTCCATCCATATTGTTACAAATGGCAAGATTTCGTTCTCTTTTATGACTATAACGCACTGTATATATATACCACATCTTCTTTATCCATTCATCTACTGATGGACACTTAAGTTTCTTCCATATCTCGGCTATTGTGAATAAACATACAAGAAAAAGCTGGTAAGTTACTTTTTTATTTTAACTATTCAAATGGATGAGTATTAGTATCTCCTTGTAGTTTTAATTTGCATTTTCCTGATGACTAATGGCATTAAGTAGTTTATCATGTACTTATTAGACATTTATAGTATCTTTTTTCATGAAGTGTCTGTTCAAATTCTTGCCTGTTTTATAACTGGGTTTTTGTCTTCTTATTATTGAGTTATAAGATTTCCTTATATATTCTGGACACAAGTTTTTGTTATATATATATATATATATATATATATATATAGAGAGAGAGAG